CTAAAAGAACTAAGAGATCATGTTCATGTGATACTGACATGTACCTCTATAAGGCCGAGCATGGAAATCGGTCGTAGGCGTACGTTTGAATTTTAAATTTATGACGGAGCAATACTTTTGACGAATTTTATATTTAAATTATTATATATTTTCAGCAGAATTAGTGCCAATGGTAGTGATACAGGATGATCGCGAAATTCCGCTTGCTTTGATAGCTAATCATGAGCTAGTTGCACTCCCTCGGCAAGTTTTCCCAATAGAAGAGGTTACTTCGGCATTTATGGCAAAGAAGAACTCTGTTATCACAAATGTAAATTTTCTTCTAGCACTATATGTTGCATTTAATTTCATTTGAAATATCTCTCACTAACTAGATATGAAGCTTTTATTAGTATGTACTGTTGGAAGTAATGGCTAGATAATGTCCAGAAGCTAGTGAAATTCGCAGATTTTAACAGTTTAAAATATTTTTAGGTAGAGTGGCCAGAATTTGCGACTATCGGGCGTTCAATAGAAGGACGAATTTTAAGTGCACCGCCATGGATCCGTGAATTTACAAATCCAGCAGTCAAAAAGATTGCTTTGAGTATGCAGCGCTTTGGACGAGATCGAGAAGGTTTCGCAGTGATAAAAGAGGTTTCTTTTCTCTTGTCATTTTTGATGTTTTAGTTTATGATTTTTAAATTTCATTCGTTTTACATTTTTAGCAACTAATTCTCAAATTCTTTTAGTATATCAAACGGGGTGTTATCCTTACGCCAATTGACGAAGAAGATAAGAAAATATGTGGCGATCTGTTTTTCCCCTATGAAATGAGAATCGATGTATCACGTGCTGTGACAAAATATGAGGTGCAAGTTTAGAATTTATAAAACAAATATGTGAATTTTTTTCACTCTCTACTTAGGCACACGAGAAAGCTTTTAACATCTTGTCTGAGGGACTTTCAAGATCATATAGTAAATGACTGGTAAACATCTACCCAGTGTCTGATAAAGAATTGCATGTCTAAAGATGCTATCCATTATACTCAAAAGTTTTATCTGTGTTTAAAATGAGAGAGTACAACACATTTTAAAAAATGGAGATTTCGTAAGTAAAGAAAATGTTTGTGAATCAATTAATATGCATTCAGGATGTATATCGCTTAGGCTCAAAATGGTATTTTCGTGCATGTCCAGAATTACCAAATCGTAAATATAAGTATCGAGTGTATAGCCTCAATAGTTTGGATGATGTCCTCAGTGGTAATTTGATTACTCAGGAACGATCTTATGAGCAAACTGTAAATTTATCGATGATTATTTTTTCTTTAATCGATGTAATTACCGGTTCATAGATGTCAACTTTTTAAATGAGCAAGCGATTAATATTGCTTTATATGTTTACATTCAGCATAGCGATATTCAAAGAGAAAGAGAGAGAATTTGACTTTAACACGAAGAAGTATTTGAGGTCATAACGAAACAAGATTCCGTCACTGTTGATGTCTCGACGAGCGTCATGCACGCAGTGGCATCTACAAATTGTGAGCTAGATGACTCACACCAACTAATTGAGTTTGACAGTGAACCTTTGCAGGTAAGATTAATTAAGTGCGATGAATCCTCTGGTCAAAATTTAGATTCTAGTAAACAATGAAAAATTTCTGCACCAGTAAAATGAGGAGGGAAAACAAGTAATAGGACAAAAACAGAAGCAAACGGAAAGAAAAGAAAAATACAAAAAAAAAGAAAAAGGTAGTGGGAAAAAATCATTAATAAAATTGCAGATTACTTCCTGCATAGGTAGGTGATATTTGAGTTAATAGCCTCTCTATTTAAGTTCTAAAATAATATGTAAAAGTTAATAAAGTGTTACTTTATATCTATCTGTAATTACTCTCTTATTACGTAAATTAGGTTTCTAAACTGAAAGTTCTTCAATTATTCAGATAGTCTCACCAAACTCTTCCCTGCCAAAAGCTGCAACAGTTTCGCCGGTTACTTCTAACTCATTCAGTAATGTTAATTTCGACACATCTCCTGCAGCAACAGCAAGACACATTAATGAGACAATGGTACTGCAAAGTTCAAATTCTTCTGATATGGCTGGTTGCAATTTATTAGTTGATCTCAATGTTGTGGATGAAGTACAGCAAGTCGCGACACAAGTTCGGCATTTTCATGTACTGGATGAAGATTTTAGTCTTTCTTCACTTAATTTCGATTTTGACGAAGCGAAAAAATGCAATTACAAAGCAGAAATGTTCAGCCACAATAATCACGAAAATAATGAAGATATGTGGTAAATTTATTTGTTTTCCAACTTTCGCCTTAATATTGTTGTCTCTCGACGTAATAAATGAACACAGTTCGAATAGAACTCAATCATATATTTCACCATATATTACTAAAAGTGTGACTATCAAAATTTCTTTACACTTATATTTGACTTACAGCTATGAATAATGGAAAGTATGTGGGCATACTTCTATTTATTAATAAAAATTTATAAGAAACAAATACAAAGAATCATCGTATGATTCATCATATGAGTCAGTTTATCACTAGACGCATACGAATTAATCATAAGATTTAATCAACGATGATCAACGTCTGAGCATTTTTTTCGGACATTAATTGTAAAGTGTGCTCTAGTTACAGCGTTAGATACTACTCTGATTAGATAATGTTTGATGCAAAATATGTTCACCAAATATGTCCATCAAAAACTAATTTATATTAAGCATGGCATCACAAATTAAGGATTCGGGAAGTGCTGATTTGAATCGTATTATTAATGGATTTAATAAACCAAAAGGTCTAGTTTTTTTTTGTAATTTCTAAGTGTAGTGCATTTATAATTTGGTAGAAGTTTCAGTACCTGAAGTTGCTAATATTTTAGCATTTTAGTATATTTCTTGTAGTTTACGACCTTTCTTGTAGCTTTATTGATTACAGCTTCAGGACTTTCAAATAATTACCTCCATATTATCTGAAGTTCAAATCCGTAAATTTTTCTATTTTAGAACTAATGAAAGTGGAGGATGATTGCGCAATAGAATTTGCAGCATGTAAACCCAAAAAGTGTGTGGAAAATTGCTCAACGCTGTGTAATGGAAATTCCGAAGTTGAACAACTAATTGATATGAACAATGATTCACCAATCACTGATCAAAAAGTAGATACTAGCGATGATGATTCTGAGAATGAAGTGTTCCACGCAGTACCTGTGGAAAGACAAAATGATGATGGGGTTGGCATTTTATTTTGAATTTGCAGTTTGAAGAAGTGGTGCTTATATTTGGTTTGAATTGCTTGAATGGGATTACATTAAAGTTGGATGGGGAAAAAGAGTTTGTAATCCTTGCTTGAAGTATTTAATACTTCAATATCAAGATTAAAAGTACAGGGAATTAATCATAGTCAAAATTTGTTTCATTTTTCCAAGACAATTAAATTCTTAACTTAAATCCTTTAACATTTTAGTGGTGGTTCACCCGTAGAGACTCAAATAAGACAGATTCAATGGAAGATAAGAAGATAAATGATGAATTTATGAGGCTACCATGTTGTATTGCTGAAAATTCTGAAACAGCAGAGGTTACTAAATGATTATTCATTTAGTATTTGGAATAAAAAAAATTTTTTAAGAGAAATTTAGCACAACATTTTCTTTCATGTTTGCGTATGCATCGCTATTAGCGACTTCTGCTGTAAATTTCCCAACTTTAACTATTAGCGGACAACATAATTTCTTAATTACAGCTTAACTCAGTACCCGATGATGATAAACCACTGTTGATTCTAACTGGTGATCAAGCAAAAAATTGTGAAACAACCTCCTTGACAACGACTTCGCAGATATCTCTTTCAAATACTCTTCAAAACGATGGCGTAAGCTTTTTTTTTGTTTAGTATGTTAATAATTATCAGTTCATGGAATATCTGCCACAGTTTGCCCTTATTTTCTTAACGGTATCATTCATTCTCCACATTGTGGGTTCAGCCTCAGTCCATATTGGTGTCTTTTTTGTTGAGAAACTTACTTGGTCTAGTAAGGTTAGTTATTTTAACTCCATTAATTTCATAATATTTTAACAGTTGCTCTACGAGATATTTCGTTTATAGAAAAAGAAAAAAGAAAGATTGAAATTTTGAACCTCTTTTTAAGTTTAAGCTTGTGGAATATTTTTAAGACAGAGCTAAGTAGGCACTGGAAGATTTCATCGCTAGTTCATATCTTTTTTTGTGGTCCATTGATAATGTAGTTATTATCAGATAATCTCTTATTCTTAGGTATATGCCAAATTTTTCGCTGGACTTCTTCGGAAGTAAATGTTATGACGAAAAGCAATGTTTATAAGAGAATGTGTCATTTCTTATGGCTTATTGAAAAATTAGTTTGATTCGACTGCAAATTGCAAGGAAAATATTGTTTTTTTTGGTGATACTTTTTTCTAATACGATAATGAAAATTGTTGCATTCCTATTTCATGATACTATATTAATGTTGAAAATTTTATTTTCATGTAGTTATGTAATTTCTTAAAATTCCTTAAAATTATATAATTTTTTATAATGAAAAATTTCAATTGAAATTGAAATTACTGTCTCAAGATTATTTTTTGAAATTACTTTCATTTAAATATTTCAAAAAAGAAAAGTATTACACCATTCGAACAGTTGAGAAAAATTTGTTAGTTTCCATTTCTAAGATTCAAATTATCTTCCATTAATCTTATGTAAATTTCCAGCCTAATTATGATTGATTGCAATAGTTACTTTTTCTCATTGTTAATAATCGAGTGGTTGCATATATTCCTCTCTGTCTTTGCTTCTTCATGAGGTGGTATCTTGTGAATTATTTGTATATTTCTTACATCCTTTATTTTCTTCTACAACTCGTTTTCAGTCTTAAAATAAGCGTCTATCGGGTATGACTGATTTCTCATTAAAATATTTCTGGCAATAATTTCTTTCTCCTGACTAAATATTGAAGGAAGAATTATTATTTAACATAGGCTGGGAATGCGAATTATCCAGAAAATTTGGACAGGAGACAAGAAGTGAGGTGAAGGTCCTATAGGGTTCACATATTGGTTGTGTTTTAAGCATGTTAGATTACCTTATAATTGTATATCATGAATTAAATATGAAAGTAGTCTATTCCTCAGATATTAATTAGTCATATATTCACTTAGCATGATGTTCGCTCCTGCATACTTGGTCAAATCTCATCTAATCCTTTTGTTCGTTGTAAGAATGAGATTGAATGAAATAGCTTTCAGCATTTTATTATTTTAAATGACTGCGTAAGAGAAAAAATTTTATATATAATCCCATGATATTTGTATTTTAAAACAAGAATAAAGATTTTAATGCTAGTTGAAAATAGAGACATTTTTGGCCTAAGGCCTAACAACGATGTATACCAAATTTTAATTTCAATCAATTTCTTTGAGAGAATATTTACATAAATATAGAATTAAAATACCAAAAAGACAAACAAAATAATCGCCAAGGTGTAGAGTTTAGAATGTTGTTAACATTATTTCGAGTGTATGAAAGAGCTCTAGCAAAATATCCATTTTTAACGCAAGCTTCCAGTGCAGGTTAGTTTTCCTCACTCAGATCAGATTGAGCAACGTACAGGTTAAAAAAATTAAAAATGGAAATTGTTAATTTGAAGTTATAAAATATGGTCAGGAGAAGAAAGAAGAGAATAGGGATGTTTCGTAATCGAAAACATTTAAGTTTTATTTGCATAAAAATCATTTCAAGAAATGAATTAATAAGAGTTAGCTGCGGAAAATTTCGTTATTAATTATGATTCTTTAAAATATTAGACGAAAAAAAAGTATTTTAAACTTTTGAAAGTTCAAATTTCTTAATCCGACTTTAATTTTTGTTTTTTTTTTTGGAATTATCCATTCGTTTGTCATTTAGTGAAAATCAATATGAATATTTCCAGTTCTCTTTTATCACTAAGTCCAAAATTTCCTATCATCACCGTCCTTTCTGTCATCAGTTGCTATCCAAATCGTTCATCTTCAATGCCATATGAAAATTCTTTTTTTTTTCGACAACTGTCTAGGTGCATTAGCAATAATCGCCGATGTGTTAACTCAAAATTTTGTCGAGAAGCGTTGGCAAAAAGGGAACTATAATCCGGCACGAACAACACGCTTTTCCGCTCTTATTTTTTTCTGGATTGTTTGTTCTTTTCTTTCTTTTCTTACTTTTTTTTCGGAGGGTTTCAGGAGTGATAACTAATCTTGTCAGTAATAATGTATTTTGGATTAGTCAGAAATAAATGATAAACAAATTATGTAAATTTTAAACAAGAAATAAACTTGCTAAAATCATGCATTAATTGATGGAAAGTTAATTATTAACTTAATTAGTAAGAGTTTGAGTATAATAATTTTATATTGAAACTTTTCGTTAGAAAACGAAAAATATTGGAAGAATGAAAATTTTATGCAAATAACGTAGAAAAAATCGCAATAATAGCACTGATAAAGAATGAAATATTTAATCCAATTACTGTTATGATTCATGATATTCTTTTAAATTTTTAAATAATACTTATTTCTAAATGGTTTTTTAAAGGCTCCTATAACTTATCGATGGTTTTTATTACTTGAGAAATTAGAAGGTAAAGCAAGTTTATTACCGTTGAAACGAATGATTCTTGATCAGGTCCGTTGTTGTTCTTTGATGATTTGTTGACTTATAATTATCGCATATTAACATTTTGTCCTGTTGATTAATCTTTAGTCAAAAGTTTGAAAAATATTTATAGTAATGCTTTTTTGAATTTTTTTCTCTTAAATATGTAATTTAATATTTCCAGTCCTTAGCAGCACCGCTATTTACGTTTAGTTTTATTACAAATTTGCGTATATTAGAAGGGAATTCTCCAAAAGATGCATTGGAAAAAGCAAATAAAGATATTATTCCAGTTATGAAAACTAATTATAAGGCAAGACTTATTTTTTTATTTTTAAAATTCTACTTTAAAAGTTAAAATTGTTAGATTTAGGAAAATTAATATGATGTATTTAGTTGTGATATGTTTTTCCACAATTTTCTTATTAATTTTTCAAATCGTCAAAATCGCCAGCAGTTATTCCAATTTTTTTGACGAAGATCATAAACCAAAATTATCACATCAAATCTTTTGCCGCACTTATTTCATATTTAACTTGCAAGGATAGAAAAAAAACTAATGGTAAGAAACGGTAGGAGAAAGTGGGAATGATAAGCTGATAATAAGATGCATCGAAGCAATTTATCAAAAAAGGCAAATTGTTTCTACTTTTACTATTTCAATTTAATAATTTTGATTTTTGCATACATTATTTTTTAAAAATTTCGTCACCTTTTAGGGAAAAATTTAAATTTATTATTTAACTGCAAAATATTTTTTGGCTGAATATATTGGAAAATTAATCGATTTGAAATTAATTACATGAATATTGGGGTACTAATTGATATTTCTAATTGCAGTAGTATTTTTCAAAAAATTCAAATGCTACAATTTAGATTTGGCCATTGGCACAGCTTATAAATTTCTATCTATTACCGCTCCGTTATAGACTCATATTTGTTCAATTTGTGGGTCTATTTTGGAATATGTATTTATCGTATGCTACTCAAATTGGGAACGAGTAAATGAATCAAAAAAACATTCTGACAAAGATTTGTATCATTGATAAAATTAGCAGTAATTTTGTAATTGTTGAATAAAGTGAAATTATTTAACATTGTTACACTTTGATTTTTGGAATATGATATTGCTTTAATAGCTATGGTGAATAATACACTGATATTGGTTTAATACACTATAACATATTATGTGAGCAACACTATTTTTATAAATTTCAAATATGATAAAATGACAGTATCAGTTTGCGGTTTGGTAATATGTCAGAATGGTAATAATTTTCAGCAAACTTTTGATTATATCCAGTCCATAGTATACATAATTAAGGAAGTATCAGTTCAATTATTATCTGACAATTCTGTTGTAAATTTTACAATACTTATTAATAGCTGGATAACATGAAATATGGGAATGATTTTTCTCTTATTATTATTTAAATCCAGGTAAAATTTCTCAATATAATTTAAATATTATAATTTTATCAAACTGCTATGTGAAATAATTAAAGGTTTTAATATTTCAAAATGAATTCGCTTGTCAATAACGAAGGGAAAATTATATATGTCACATTATAATTATGGAGTTTTGAATTACATAATTTAACTTATCAAGTTATCATTTAGGAATTAATTTTAGCAAATTAAAATTAGAAACGATAGAAATGAATATAAACTGTGAAGTGTACGTGTTCAAATTATGATTAATTTTTTTTGAACATAATATTTCAATATTTTCCGATTTTAAGTGTCTATGTTTGCAAAATTATAGAATAATTTTTCAATATTAGAAATTATCTTCAACATTTAAATCATTCAAATCTCAAATCAGATAGAAAAATTGGAAATTTTAATTGATAGAAAAATCGAAAATTGATCAAAATTTTTAATTAAAGTTTTTTCACAATGCAATACAAACTTGACTTTGCAATATTTTATTAACTTAACTTTTGGTAAAATAGAAAAATTGAATTTTTTATTAAACATCTTCAGTGAGGAATATTCTTACCACACTGTCACTGACATAAATGGGAATCATTATTTGAATTACCGGTATCAGTCCTTTCGTTCTACAATGAGCAACAGATATGAATTGTAAACGAACACGCTGAAAAGGATTTGACTTTAATTCAATCAATTTCAATCAATAAAAACTTATCATATAAATCGATTCTAATTCACATATTTCATTGGTTGAAGAAAAAAATTTTTAACTGAAAGGAGGATTGGTATACATGATGTACAAATTATACTTTTAAAATTTCAGTGGGCCATCGAAATGCTTTTTTTCTTTTTTTTTTCATTTTTCACTTTTTTGAAATGCGTTCTCGATATCTTACATTGTAATCATTTTCTCAGTTCTATGTTTGATGAAAGAAAGAAGAATGAATGATCAAATCGTACAGTTCACTTGAAAAAAATTCATGCCAAAATCGATAAGCATTATTTGATTAAACATTTTATGATACACTTTATCATTTAACAACCAAACAGAACTTAATTATTCGGAATATTACCTACAATATTTTAAAGAAATTTTTTTTTTAAATTTCGAATAAATTTTTTTGCAAAAAAAGTTGGTGAACAAATTTGAAATATCATGATGATATATAAATTACATTTATAGCATATGCATAATACATATTTATTTGATATTTTCATTTAAAAAA